TTATTTATGTAGCGGTGATTTGTTTTGTCAAAATGGCATCTTGATTTCATCGCGTATGAAAATAGTCAACTTCAACGGCAAACATAATATTGCCGAGTGTCATGAAAAATTTACGCCACCTCCTATGGATATAACTTCTTAAAAATGTTCAAGGTGTTCGCGACACATTAGTTTATATAATCTTGAATGGCCATTGCGAAAACAACCTAAAGAAAAAGGGAGATGAATGTATTAGAAATCATTATTATTTAATAAATATTTAAGCTATTTGCAAATTTATCTTTTGGAATAGATGATTACCAATAATAATAACAAAGGAAAGGCGAAAGTGGTTGTTTTACTTGCAACCCTGCAATCCATGTTGTAGACAAGAAAGAACATAACGAAAGAATGCAGGCGATAGTTTTGTAAAAAGTGGCACCCTTTCTCCGGAGAAATTTGAGGTAGGCGAGGATCTGGAAGAGGTAAATAGAATTTCCTTTCTAAAAGATTTATGTATAGATTTATATAATAGAAAATAAGGAAAAAACAATTATCAATATTGTTTAATTTAAATATCAATTTAATAAGTTATATTACCTAAAGTTTTAGTTGAATATGTCCACAAGTTTTTCACCTAGATTTTTTTTAATTTTTTAGCCTTCAACGTTTCGATGAAACGCAAAAAAAATGAGAAGTCCACCATTAGTGAGGTATGGTACAAATCCTCAAATGAAGAAGCACCAGTACCGGATATATGCTCTTAAACTCAGTCTGGCGTTACATAATTCGGTCGATAACAATATCAATCTGAGAGTGGTAAGTTTGTTGAGCGACTTCGAAGAAAATGATTTTCGTGCTGCATCCTTACAGAGAGGTTATGCAACTGATTGGTAAGTTCTTAGAATAAGATCGAATATTTTGTGAATTATCATGTAACACTTTTGTAATAATAGGGTTCCATATGAAGACGCCCAGAAGATCGTCGAAAAACAGAAAGAGAATTGGGCTTATACAGTTTATAATCTTCTTGAGGCCATCCTTACTTTTCCGGTTAAATTATTATTTATTGAATGTTAACCAGAATTTTAAGGTTGCAAACTTTGATGCTTAATGATCTAATTAGTTAATTATGATTATCTGAAAAATTTTAATTATAATTAATATATATATAATATTAATTTTTAAGGTTATAAAATGAATATATGATTATAAAATATAATGTCATTATATTATTTTAACTATAAAATTTAAATATGTACTATATAATAAATATATTTAAAATCAAGTTTATTACATTTATTCCATAAAGAATGTGTTTATAATAATTAGTTATTACAGAAAAAAATTATACTGATATAAATTTTTTTGATTGTAGAATTTATTTAATACTTATATCTGATAAGTTACAAAAAGATAAAAAAAAGAATTTATATAATATTCTTTTATTATAAGATTTATTTTAAAAAATCTATTACTTAAAGAATTTGATAAATTATAAAAAGTAAATATTTTTTATTAATAATTGATTTTTTAATTTTTATAAGATATATCTTTAAAAGGTTTAAAGTTAAAAAATCTGATAAGCTATAAAAAGATAAAATTAATATATAATTTAATTATTGATTTCTTAAAAAAAAAAAATTATATATATATTTTTTTTTTTATAAAACTTATCTTTAAATGATTTAAACTTGAAATTTGATAAAATTACAAAAGATAAATATTTTCAGATTATTTATTTTAAAAAAATTTTAATGAATTTTTTTTTAATTATAAAAATTATTTAAAATTGAAAAATTTAATTTAAAAAATAAAATTTAATAAAATTCTTTTATTATAAGATTTACTTTTAAAAATCTAAAATTAAAAAATTTAATAAACTATAAAAAGTATCATAATTTAATTGATTATTTTTTATATTTAAATAAAAATTCATATAATTTCTTTATAAAGATTTTCTTTATAATATCATTTATACTTGTCTTATCAATACTATTATTTTAGCATAATAGAATTTATTTGATATTAAAATTAAAATTATAGAATTGTCAATTATAAAGGATTATCAAACGTTATATAAGTGCTTTTTATAATAAAAAAAGAAAAAATTACCAAAAAAAATTTTTTATTTTATAAGTTAGATATTATTTTTTTAGTAAAAACATTCAGATCTCAAAATAAATTTTTTTGGTAGTTTTCTTTTTTTTACTACAAAACATCTATATTATTTTTAAATTACTCAATACTGAATTTTATGAAAATTTTATATATTATAAATATAAATCTCAAACTATAACATATAAAGTTTTTATTAAATTAAATCATAAGTTATTATATAATATAAATAATAATGTATTATATAAATAATATATTATAATGATTGTAATTAAATACTAGTTAAAATAATCAAATTGGCTAGAAATCAAATAACTAAATCTAGGTTGATTATAATATTATTTACTTGATTTATTATATTTTCTGATCATCTAAATTATTACTAATCTATTCTATAAAAATAACATTCTAAAATATTTTCATTATTTTTTTATGATTTGGTTTTAGAATCTATAAGAATTCAGTTAATCATATAAAAGTAATAACTGATTAAACAATCAATAAGAAATTTTTCAGAATGTACATATAGAAAATAAAATTAAAATGGAATATAAAATTCTTAAATTTTAGAAATAGAATTAAAATGAAATATAAAATTCTTGTATTTTAGAAATAAAATTAAAATGGAATATTAAATATGAATTTTTTAAAGATTCAATGGCTCTAAAATAGAACTTTTTTTTCATTATTAAAAAACTGATTAAAAATAGAGAAAATACAATTGATTAATAGAAATTAACAATAATATTAAATTAAAAATTAAATAACAGAAATTTGTAAAAGTTTAATATTAGCTTTTGATAATATAAATATAAATATACATTTAAATTAAGTATTAAAATAAAATATAAATTATCAGAATTTAACTTTATTTCTTGATCAATAATATAAAATTCATTATTTGGCATTTTGAGAAAACTAACTTTTTTGTTAATGGCACTAAAATTAATTACTAAGATCTCAAAATTTTAATAAACCATATTTAGATAGTTGAGGGTTTTAAATTCACTATATATATGTCAGCATAGACTAATGATCATTATATTAGTGTAAAAAGTAATAATATAATTCTTTAAAAAACACTTGCTTTTCTAGAATAACTGGTGCATTTTTACAGTGTATATTTTGATCAACTAAAAGTTTTACAAAATAAATAAAAATAATAAATACTTGATTAGAGTAGAATCTGAACTTTTATATATACTGCAATACAAAAGTTTGTATATGCAACATCATTCCTGTGATTAGATAGTCTTAAATTAATTATTTGTCATATTTTATTTAAAGTTTTCTATATTTTTTAATAGAATCTGTATTAATTTTGATAATATAAATAATATATTAAAAGTCTCAAAATAAATATAATAAGATATTATACAAAATAAATATAAAATAAGAATTATATCATAAGCTGATTTGCATTCTTATTTAATACTATTATATAGTAAGCTTTAAGATACTTTATTTTAATTCTATTTATCAAATAACTAAATGATGGTAAATGCAATTCTACTTCAATACTACTAGTAATAAATATTTAATTTTTAGAATAATTTAGTATTTTCTTCAAATTTATTCTAAAAAGCTTTTGATTTATTTCAGTTTTATACTGAAAATTTGAAAAATAAATTTACATAATAATTTAATTTTGAAGATTTGTATATAAATACTATCTTAAGTATACTAAAGGTAGTAATTTTTTATATATCTTTTCTATTAGATATTATTAGGTTACCTATGCAAGTCTAGTATTACATATTAAATTAGTAATATGTAATAAATAGTAATATGAAATAAGTGTTATTAAAAAATATTTTGAGTTATTTTTCTATTAAATATTATTAATATAGTAATATAACATAAATATAAAATATAATAGTTACATATTTTTCATAATGAATTACAAATTTGCAAAAATATTTATCAATTTCTGCTAATTTCATTATACTAATTTTTTTGTTTAAGGCAAAGTTTTGTTGCATACAAATTTTGTCCAGTTATTTAAATACCTAAATTAATCAATAATTTTAAAAGTAAATTTAGAAAATTATAAATTA